CTTGAGGAATTCACACCGTTGTGGCTGGCTGACTTGGGAGCTGGGGTTTCAGTCTGGGAAGAGTCTTGCTAGAGGTTGTAGCTAGCTGGACTGAATTTGCATTGTCTCTTGGAGTTCCTTGGCCTGACAGACACTGACCGAAGCGCTTGCTTACCCTGACCAGGAGCTCGACAATATGACAGTGGCCGTCTGCGGCCGCCATATGGAGGGGTGTCCGGTCCACCTTGGTCCGAGCGTCTCGACTCACTCCGGCCCGAAGCAGAACTTCTGCTGTCGAATAATGACCGTACTGAGCAGCGAGGTGAAGGGGTGACGTTCCCAGCTGTTGGATGATTAAGCAGGAAGATTATTATCTTTCTGTCACCCTCCGGTTCACCCTGCGAAGTGTGCCGAGCTTCTTCCATTCCTTTTTCCATAGAGGGAGGACTCGGCTTCAGAGTCAGAGATAAGACCTTTCTGTCTCCCATCCCAAAACGTACAGTCCTGCTGCCCCCGCCCTGCCTTCCTCCCCACCTTGGGGGCTCTTCCACTCTGCACCTACCCAGTCGGTGGTGAACGGGGCCCCATTGGCCATTAGCAGCCTGACTTCATCGTCCTGGCCTTGGCGGGCTGCTTCCAGGAGCTTCTTCCCCAGGTCCACCAGCGACATCTTTATACATGGGAACAGATGGGTTCAAAAATCTGGGGGAAGAAAAGTCTCACTGGTTTGGACCGGGGGAGGAAGTCAGCGCCAGGCCTGCGTGCCCCCCACCTCCCTTTCAGGTCCCAGCTCTACTCACAGGTGGAAAGAGGAGTCCAGCCCATTCTGCTCCCTGCGTGGCGTCCTCCTCTCCGTCAAACCTTAACAGAGAAGGCAAGGACATCGTAAGCGGCCGCGACAGGAATCCGGGATGGAGAAGCAGCAGGCGGCCAAACCGGCCATTGCTCTGTTCACAGGTCTGGCGATGTCCCACTTCATGCCCCTCGACTGCCAGCGGTGGAGAAGCTCCGATTCCAGGCAGGATCAGGACTGCCAACCTGCTCCAGGGAGGAAAGAACTCCGTCCAGCTGACGCCTCCTTCACGGGACGTTTGACAAAGCGACCGCCGGCCTCTGCCTTTGCCCCAGTCACGGGGCGAAATGTCCGGCTGCTTTTCCCCTTGGGCCAAATGCAGAGTTTAGCACAGGGTTTTTCAACCTTGGCAACTTTAAG